GTAAGTTGGAAATAATGCTATCTATGTGTAAAGCTGAATGTGGTAATTTCTTGGTATCTCGTAATCGATCACTAACTTCAGGTATGATTTGTGGACCTGCTGTTAATGGAACAAATGTTAAAGATAGCTGTTAGGCCAGGGCATGCATAAGTATTGCTTATAGGTTAGGTGAGTTAACCAGTAGGAGGAAGCTAACCATGTGTTTTAATTTTTCGTAGTTTGATTTTGCCGGGGTAAGAGTACTTTTGATTTTTCTTTTTATGCCAAGATTTCAGCCCATATGACACCTTGACAAAGAGACAAAGGTTTTGTTTGTAAACAAGTTGGATCTGGGAAGGAGAAACTCCTGTAATTGAAAGTGATGAAGTAAAATAACAGTGTAGGCAAATAGAGAAATACCTTAAAAATTGAGTTCCTTGTTTGATGTTGCCAGTACTATACTAGTGAATAATATTATTAGAGTTTATACAGGGATTGCAGGTGGGTTAGGTAATTTAACATCTTGATAAACACTGCTATAATTTATGGCATGTTTTTTCTGCCTTTTAACCGTTCCATAATCTTGTGGGAAGTAAAAATGGTAATTTTGTCTAAAAATATAATTGATATTTGGCAAACATTGCCAGCCAAAAATTTAGAAGTATTAGAAAAGATGAAATACAACTAACATTCCAGAAGAATGATTGCCACTTACTTGAATGAAAACCAACATAATAGCTTTTTAAGGTAGCTATTTAAAAAGGTGCTCTTATATCTCAGTGAACTGACTGGCAGTTTTTTTCTTTAAATCTCAGTTTATAGTTAGTAGAGACAGGAAAGTCATGGTTAAATACAAGAACAAAAGGTTCCAACATACTAGATTTTTTGAAAAGTGATAAAGGAAAAAATGTTCTGATTTAAATTTCATCTCCTTTTCCTTAGTCTGTCCATGTGAATGTGCTGTGTGGAAGAGTAAAAGGGCCCAACTAAATGTGTTCCAGTGATTCCAATAGGTATTCTAAATTAATTGCTGCTTGTACACTTGTTTTTTGTTAGGCTTTTGGAATCATGTTAATTAAAAGTCCCCTTAGTTTTAAAAGATGGGGAAAATGAAGAAATGAATCTAGGATGTCTTATGCCCTGGGTTTCCTTAATTTTTTATGCATCTATTCTAAAAAATATACAAATACTTAAGATTTTTTACTTGCTTATGGGAATTTGGAAAACAGATTAAGGCATTTATGGATAGAGCTGTGATAGAAATTCATTATTTCAAAGTCAACTAGCAAGTTCAATATGAAAATTTTAAAAAATGTATAAACTGAAATTAAAAAGTCCTAGGGATACCTCCAAGAACAAAACTATATTGGTTGCTCAAAAAGTTTTGTAATACTGCGAGCTCTTAGGCCACTCCTGAGCATAAAATTTTTCTGGTGCCTTAAGATTTAAGAGAACTCTGGTGGCATTGTGCCTAATGCATTTGACTGCTAACTAGTAGGCTGGTGGTTCAAACCCACCAGCCACTCTTCCGAAGGAAGATTGGGCAATCTGCTTCCATAGAGGTACCACCTCAGAAACCCTAGGAGGAATCACTATGAGTTGGAACTGACTTGACGGCAGTGAGTGGGTTTTTATTAATTTTTTTGTTTGAGATTAAAGATGATAGCCTTACAGGAAGTTTAATTTTTTTCTCTACTCCATAATAATGGTGGAATTAAAGGATTTGGGGCTGTCATGGTTGGTTTAATGAAATGGCTTTATTTTTGTTATGAATGGCAAACGATTGAGGTTTCAGAGTAAATTATAACCATCTCTGTTCACTTGAGAAAAAAACATATCATTATAGAAAAGGAAGTATCCATATAGAGGAAAAATAAAATTTTACGGAAATTAAAAATGTAAGAAACCAGTATATACAATGATTATTTTGATACTGGAAGGGCAGAGCATATCCTTAGTGGCTTACAGCTTCTGGGACTTAAGTGCATTACTTGTGTTCTAGGAAAAAGAAAAGACCTGTTGTGTTGGCCTAAACTTTAAAATGAACAATAGAAATCTCTTTCAATTAGTATTTGCTTATTAATGTAGTCACTGGTAGCTTTCTCAAGATAACAACTGAGCAAGTGGGAATATATCCTTGTTTTAGGAAATTGGAGAGTAAGGAGAATGTAGTGGTTGAACATTCAAAAATATTTGCAACACAATATATCTATTTCTCACATCACAATCTTTAAAATGAAATACTTTGGGAAATATCTTTGTAATAAGGAAACTTCGTCCTCAACTTTACTTCCCTTATAAAATAATTTTAAAACGTTTCAAAATGGAACTTTTTAAGTACAAAATAAGCTGCCTAAAATAACAGTATTTTGGTTGTAGGATGATGTTAATATACATAACCTGATTTGATGACCACTGGGCTATATTTTAAGATGCTTCCAAGAGCTTGTTTATTCCAGAGGACAATTAGAAATCAGAAACCGTAGTGATCGTTTTAATTCTAATTTCCTTGTTAAGGTTTTCTGCTTACCCAGAGAATAGTGTTCTTAACTTGACTTCTAAAAGGGGTGCCTTGTCCACCCCCATTACAGATTTTTATCTAGGAATAGAAGGATTCAAACCCTATTTGATACCTAGCTCTTTGCTGAAAAGTGCATAAACAGGAATCCTGAATTTATTATATAGACCTCCTCGCATTATGTAATCGAAGCAAAGGGAAACCAGCGATGGAGTGGAGGTACGTAGACTAAAGAGATGCTTGCAAATCAAATAATGGTACCAGGGATAGTCACAATTGTTGCCATACTTGGACAATAGAAATCATGAAAGAAAAACTTCTAGTTAATTTTAAATTCCCTGAGGTCCTAAGATTTAAAACAAATAGGAAAACCAAGAAAGAGGGAGGGATGAGGGAGGAGGGGAAATGTATAAAACACTAGAAAGAATCTAATAAAGTAGATATAATAGATAAGCCACAAAGAGTTTTTTAACACTAATGACCACAATTCTATTTTAATCAGCTACTTAGCTGGTACCTACTGCTATATCACCTAGTGTGAAATTTCGGAATTAATGGAACAGTGAAGGCAATGCAGCTAGAGGCTACAATGGGCGTGGAAGGTAGGTTATTCTTTGTTTCAAAATATGAAAATTGGGCTACAGGGGAACTTGCACTTGGTTTACATGTTAATGAACATCTCATAATTAAGTTTAACACAGAGTATTTTGTCTCAGACACTTGGCTTGGGAATGGAAAAGTAAAAATGCAGACAATGTCCTTGCCAGAGGAAATCAGGCTACAACACAAGTAATAGCCAGTCAACACATAAAACGCAAAGTAGTATGAGAACCTAAATGAAAGGGTGAATAAAATTTCCAGAAGTTAGTGACCAAGAGAATGGAAAGCTATAGAGAGGAGATGGGAAAAGTTTCAAGTGGAATGATGAAAAAATTGAAGCAGAGGCATGAGACATGGAACTTGGTCAAGAAGAAAAAGTATTAATGGTAATGTAAATTTATGAAAGTTTTAAAAAGCCAACTAAATGTTAACAACTTTGTTTTTATTCAGGTTTCCAGTTACACATTCTGCTGAGAAACTGAAGGCCTTGGAAATTTTACCAGCTATGAGAGATTTCTCTCATTCGGGGTAAGATAAAACCAACACATGCTAGAGCTAGAAGGGACCTTAAAATTTAACTGCCTGATTTTACTTGGTAAATATTAGTAGATTGAAGCCAAGAGGATACATGACCTGCCCTCACAGCTTGTTAAATAACAGATTACTCACTGCCATCAAGTTGATCTGTGATTCATGACCCTGAAGTCCAGACAGACAGCTGCCCCATTGGATTTCCACGGCTATACATCTTTAACAGAGTAGATGGCCTTGTCTTCCTCCCATGGAGCAGCAGGTGGGGTCAAACTGCCAACTTTTTGGTTAGTAGCTGAATGCTTTAACCATTGCACTACCACAGCTCCTTAGCAGATTATTAGTACTCATCAATTTTTCCTACTTCCTTAGTGCTACCTCTTAAAGTAAGTGGGGTGAGTATCATAGAAGGAATTTTTTAAATTATTTGGGCATGATCAATCTAAATAAAGTAGACTTAATGAACTTTAGTTTGTAACAGAGTGGGCAGATGATTTAGCCCATTTCTCCTAATACTTTTCCTAAACATCTAAGCTCTTTCTTTGGTGACTGAACATGTTTGACCGTGCTATTTCCTTACAGTTCAGGGCATTTCGTAAATCACACAGCCATGTACACCCTAACTCTGAAAATGACAAAAGGTGAGGGGGATGACACCCCTCTTCTGCACTCAACTGGGACAATGCCCCCTTTTCTTACAGACATCTCTTCCCTATTTCTTTGACTTGCCTTGATACTTGAAAGTAACAACCAATAATAAACGCCATCATACTGTCTGCTGGTATCCTTACTTTGTTCAGGAAGACATCTGGTTTGTTCTTGATACATTTAAAAAAATCTTGAAAAGTAACTGACGTTAAAACCAAAAATGAAAATAGTTTACTTTGTTGACTTACAAAGGAAGATCCTTTTTTCTAGGTCCTAAAATCTCTTGATTTTAAGTATTAAACTCGTGCTGGTTTTAGTAACCAAGGGAGTTAATTTTAAACAGGGTAGTAACAAGATTGATTTTTAAGTTTAAGGCAAGATTAAAAATCCAACTGGGAGAGAGATTTTATTTCTTGAAATACTAAACTCATACTTAGTACAAAGAAACTCTTGTCCAAGCATATTTTTATAACTTTATTTTTTAAACACGCTATCGATAAATTCTGCGAAAAGTCCACTATATGTAACAGAAGAATGCTAGATAAAACATAGATAAAACAGGATCAAAGTTTATACCTGTGTGTGTGTGTAAAGACAAGTTACACGTGTTTTATTTACTTGATTGAAAGGTTTCTTACACATAAAATCTGTTGTGTAGTTGACCTCAGCTTTGTGCATGCTGATTTCATCGAGTTGTATTTTGGTTTTCTCTGCTCGAGACTGCTCAATTGCTGCTGCTGTTGCCGTTAGTTTGTTTTCTTTCAGGATCAAGGTGGGTGCTTTCATATAAAATCTTATTTTTAATTCCTTCTCTGGCAATTCTTTCCTGGATTCTTAGCTTTGCATAATTATACCTACAATGGAACCTTTAAGAAAAGAATATGAATAAATTACTGATACAAAATTCCCATAGAAATGAATTTATGAAATTTAACTTTTATTAGAAACAGTCTTAGCATTCTAATTTAGAGTGCTATATTTATATTTGGGTGGTATGTACCTATGACCACATGTTTTACATAAAATAAGGATTTTAAGTGTATAATTCCATCCCAGTTTTAAAACCTATATACAGTTACATAACTGAGATAAAGAATCAAGGTATTGAATATTTCTATCACCCCAAACCAGCCACTAAATTCTTTTATCACCTTGGCTTACTTTTCAAGCTGGAATCATAATGTGTTGAGTTTGTCTGGCTATTTGCCCAAAAAAATGGGTTAATCGGGTTGTTAATACATTCTTTAAACCAGGAGTATTTTCAGATGTGGCATGTTCAGGATTACAAGAATGATGAAGATAACCCAGATCAACATGTTGCTTTCACCTATTCAACATTCAGTAAATAAAAATCTTTTTTTTTTTTTTAAATAAAAATAGGAGATTGCTCTGAGAAGAATTTGTGCTTTTTAATTAAATAAACCCATCAAGATGATAGGGTTTACTCAAATACATATTTAGTATACATACCAGCATCCTAAAGTCACCAAAATAAACCCTCCTACTCCAACATCACATGATCTTCTAATTCTGCCTGTCAAATAAGCATAAACCACCATGATTGTCTACAAAAATGTTTACACCTACATATAAAAATTAAACACAGGTACTCACTAGTCAATAAGAAATGTCCAAGGCCAGCCACGACAGATCCTAATGAACCATATAATACTGAATCCCGTGCACAGGGAATGTTTTCAACATCCAAAACTCCAAGGAGCTTAAAAGGCTGGAATAAAATAAAGAACTTGGGTTGCGCACGCACAAACAAAAACGAAACACTCTGAGTCAATTCTGACTTACAGCTACCCCCATTGGGTTTCCATAAATAATTACGAAAGTAGATTGCCCCATCCTCTGTAATGGCTGGTGGGTTTGAAGCACTGACCTGTTTAGCAGCCAGATGCCTTACCCACTATGCTACCAGAGATTGAACAAGAAAATTATTTCAGGGTAGTTTGGCAAAGATTACAATACAAACCACATTCCTTATGTCCTCTTTTAGTTTTGAAAATTTGATTAGAAAGCTCTGCAGCCTAAATTCTGTAGTGCTTTACTAATCTAGTGACTCAGACATGAAGTAGTATATATCATATCTTACGAGCTCTTTAAACATCTGTAGGACTTTATTTGGGAATTTAGCTCTCACTAGGGAAGCATGTAACATTCAAGTTTACTGTTTATTGTGCCATTTGTCTAACAATTTTTATTTTCAGGTTTTAAGAATGAATATTTCCTGTTTAACATAGCATGGGCAATTTATTCTGGTCCCCAAGTTCCCTAGTTGCATTTGACATAGTAGCTACACCTAGGTGTGGAAAAAAATGGAATCCTGCGAGCTCAATTTTGGGATTTTGTTCCAGCCCTGACCCTAATCAGTAACTTCTGTATCCTGCTGGTAATTTTTATCTCTGGTCTCAGTCTCTAAAATGAAAGGACTGAGTGAGGTAGATCACCAAATTCCTTCAAGTGCTAAAGTGATTTGTTTCTGTGAACAGATTTTATTCCCCAACAGATTTTATTCCCCTTTATTTCTGTAAAGTCTTCATTGGATGTTTTGACTTGTTTTCCACTTGGGGGGGGGGTGTCACCTAACAGATTTTACTGTGATGTCTTTGACCCTACCCTAGCTCTGCCTTTGGAAGGGCAGGATAGACATGTAAAGTACATCTGAATTAGTGTGAGAAAATTTATGCTGATGGGGGTAGGGAATAAATGGGGAAAGCAGTGAAAAGCAAGTCACAATTAAGGTTTAAATATGGAGATGTTCTTAATTCTGTTTTTGCTGCTTTGGCTCAAAGCAGCTACTGGAAAAGATGTAACCTGGTTCATAATAAAAGCATGTAGTTTGTAGATTCTTTCATTTTCCCCTTGTCTCTCCTTAACCCTGTCCCTTTCCCCCAACACGAACACAACAGGTGCTCATTAAATTTACAGATCGAACCATAAAACTTACGTGATAAAAATCACAAGTCAGTCTGGGGGGGTTGAACTCACTTCTAGACTCTTTTTACCCTGTCAGTTTAAAAGCCCCTGGGGATAACAGCAATAGGGAATGCTGGACTCTGTTTGCCATTCCAAGAATGGTATCGCCTCTAAACAAGCATATTTGCCAAGTGATGCTAGGGCCAGAGGATGATGTGATCAGTGCCAGTTTTATGTGGTCTTTGAAGCAAGCATCTTCAACAGGGGCAGAATACTTTCATAGCTTGTTACTTGGTCCAGAGAGATCTTAAGCAGAAAGAATGAAAGCCACTCCATTGCTGGGGGCCATGCATGACTATAACATGCCAGCCACTGCACACCCTCCTACCCACCCAAGATTACCGTTTCATGTGTATGAAAGTAATCCCATGATAAGATCTGCAGACATTTGGACAAAATGCTATAAATGCCAACACCACTAGTATAGGGTCTTTTACATGCTTAAACTACCCTCTGAACTGTTATGTGCTGTCAAGTCGGACCTGACTCATAGTGACCCCTCCTTGGATTTCTGAGGCAGTATAACTATGGAAGTAGGTTGCTCCATCTTCCTTCTGAGGAGCGGCTGGTGGGTTTGAACTGCCAGCCTTCTGGTTAGCAGTCAGGTGCCTTAGGCACTATGCTACCAGAGCTCCTTTGAGCTAGTCATGCCAAAATCAGGTAATTAGGTAACTCGGCTTTTCAGAAAATTTTAAGTCTATGCAGATCTGAATGTATGTTTAGGATGCTGTTCCAGGTGGGGTTTTTTGGGATGACTCTTGGTAGAGAACTGCTGCTGCACAGAATGTCTAGAAAAGTATTTTAAAAATTCAAAGGTAAATTTGTAAGGAAGAGTTTCAGCGTATTTGAAAGACGGAATACCCTACACAAGTGACTCTAAATTGTACCTTTTATAAAACCAAGGTGGTGACAGACCAGGGAAGCTGGTGAACATCATCCAATGCATATCATTCACAAAACTGGTTCAAAATGCCAATATAGAAATTGAGAAACCCTGGTCTAGTCAATTTATCCATACTTAGAACTAGCAAGAGGTTACTTTATCCCAGGTCCTTTGTTGTTACATGCTGTTGAGTCAGACCCAACTCATAGCAACCCCTTCTTGGGTTTCCCAGGTGGTGTCACTACAGGAATAGATTGCTCAACCTTCCAAGAAGTGGCTGCTGGGTTTGAACCACCAGCCTTCTGGTTAGCAGTCAAATGCCTTAGGTACTATGCTACTAGAGCTTTTTAGTTCCCATTTATTAAAAGTCTCATCTCTTTGAGAGGTTCTCTCTGGAATAGTCTCAGGAAATTTAAAAGGCTAATAGTAAAACCTGGGAAAGGAACCAGTGTAAGGTGGAAACCTGTCATAAATAAAAATTTTTTTTTTTAACTAAAGTGAGTGACAGAAAAGTGTTAAGACTACACTGTGAAAGGCAGAGAACTTGTGACACCTAGAAAAGGCAGTCAAGTTGAGCTCCTCAGGTTTCACTATAGTAAGTGTTGGCAGAACCGTGATGCATATAAAAATCAGTATGATCTCCAAAGCCTGTTAAATTTCTACTGTGTGTACCAAGCTGCAACATTTACAGGTGAAAAACTAATGTAGTTGTGGTGTGTTAATAAGTAGGAACTCTGTAGCTTAGTGCCTAAAGCACTTGACTGCTAACCAGAAGGTGAGTTGCGGTTCTAACCCACTAGCCACTTGGAAGGAAGATGGGGCAATCTACTTCTGTAGTGATACCACCTCGGAAACTCAGGGAAGGGTCACCGAGTCGAAATCGACTCGATGGCACGTAACAACATAAGTATATTCTGGACAAGCGACCCCTTATGACAGTGTCATATGAACAGTTCTAGCTCAATGGGTTTCTAAGCTGTGATGGCCCTGGTGGCAGGTTGCCAGGTTTTTTCTCTTGGGGAACTGCTTGTAGGATTGAACGCCTGACCTGTTCAGAAGCCGAGCACGCCTAAACCTTTGCTTCATTGGCTCCTTACTGAAAAGAAAAAGCGAACTCACTGCTGTTGAGTCGTTTCAAACTCAGCGACCCCTCCTTGGGTTTCTGGGGTGGTATCTCTACCACCTACAATCTAAGTATATTGTCCAGTTTTCCTTCTGAGCAGTGGCTGGTGGGTTTGAACCATCAACCTTCTGGTTAGCAGTCAAATGCCTTAAAGTATTATACCACCAGAGCTCCCCTCCTTACTTGGAGAAGCCATTTGACAATGTCACACAACTAGAGAGTACTAGGATTGAGTCAGTATATAAATGTCCATTTGTAGTTTTTATCAAAACTAGGTATTTTAAGACCACAATTTCCTTCTGATAAAAGAATTCTTGGCCTTCTGGGACATTTAATTTTAATTTTTGATTACTGATAAAAAGCAAGTGTGGAGTACTTTAATGAAGAGCCAGTTTTGAGCATGTGCTTTTTTTTTTTTTGGAAGCACACTGAACTGAAAGTTACTAGAAATGGGAATTAAGGGCTCCAGCCATTAAGTCTCTTTGAAGAAGTTCTATTTAAAATGTTCATGCATTTCTGATAATCCCTTTAGCCTGCAAACTTAAAAAAGTGTAGAATTTACTTTTGCCATTAACACATTTAAGCCCTTAAACTAAGGAAATCCGTAGGCTTTTTTTTTTTTAGGTAGATTATTTTTTTAAATTAGGTTATAAAAGCCGTTTTTCTCAGCTCTATTTCATAGAACTGAGTTCTAGGGAGCTATGTTAATCAACTTAAGATTTCAAAGCCAGAGTGCTGATTTGATAATGTACAGAAATAGTTCAGCTCAAACTAGAGCCACCTCATTTTCTGCTGTGGAATCTATCTGCATCATTGCCCATTTTCTATTTCTCCTCTTGTTAAAAACTGGTCCTGTTCCCTATCTAAAACTAATGCCACCATTCGTGCACTGGATTCCATCTCCTTTTGCCTACTCTAGGATTTTAATTCTACAAATACCCCTTTTATGTTCTTGTTTTTCTTGTTAAAATCTTCAGCATACTATCAAAGCAAAAATCTCGACTCCACCACTTTGTCTCATAACTACCATCCCATTATTCTGTACCTTTTCACAGTAAAACTTCAATTACCTATGTGTGTTTCTCAATATACATACCTCCTGTTCTCCCTTTAATTCACTTCAGTGAGGCTTTTTTTTCTTCTTGCACTCAACTGAAACTGCACCATCTAGGTCTCTAAAATTTTAAACATCTTTTTTGCAAAATTCAGTCTTACTCTGCATCTCAGCACATCTGACACAGATCATTTGGTCTTAAAATATTTTCTTTACAACATGGCCTCCTGATTTCCTATCTCACTGGCTATTCCTGGCTCCATTGTTACTGTCTCCTCTGCAGCTCTGAATGTGGACATGCTGCATGGGTTCCCTGCTCTGGGATCTACAGTCTTTTCCTTTCAATTAAATACCATTTATGTAATGACTGAAATTTATATATCCTAATTTCCCCCAAGCTTCAGTCTTCGTATGAAAAGCATCCCAAAATATTTACAAATTATTTTTCACTTCCAAATTTGCCTTTTAATGGCTTCAATTTTCAGGCCAAAAACCTAGGAGTCATGCTTTATTTCTTCCTTTCCCACATCAAACACATGTCCAGTGTACCAGCACATCTGGAAGATTCTGCCCTCAAAATATATCCTGAATTTGTCAACCGTACTGCTGCTTTCTGCTAGTACCAAGCCACCACCATCTGTCAGCCTCTTGAATGCTTTCATTTTAATTTTTTAAAATGCCTATCATGATTACATCAGTCTTTTTAAACCTTCCATGGCCTCTAGTTATTCTGAGAATAATACCTGTACTCCTTACTACCGCTATGTAGGCCCACACCTGTTGTCCTCTCGGTGTATTTCATTCTATCCCTTGTTCTCTAGCTCTAGGAACTTCAGTCTCTTAACAAGCCTGTATGGTTTACTGCCTTAGGCTCTTAACCCATGCTGTCTTTTACTGCATCTTTGCAGGCTGACACTCTGTTATCAAATTTTCATTCCCTTATTGATTACCCCAGTAGACTGTAGGCTCATAAGGACAAAGATTTTACCTGTTTTGATAAACTGTATCCCTAGCACCTACAACCAGCATCACTATGAGTCAGACTTGACCTACAGCACAGAATTTCGTATTTTAAAATTTCTTGAAGAGCACAGAATGACGACAGAAGAACAAACTTTTTAAGGACTGGTTTTACAATGCATGCTTGTAACGTTCACCTTTTATTAGATTTGCTGATTCTAATAATCATTTTCCTTGTATCTAATACAGTATTGAGATAACTGACAAGTTGTTTCTTCTACCTAAAAAACTGTTCAAGCTTCCTTTTCTGACATTACCCTGGTCTGTTAATTCAGTCATAGTTTGTTGTTGTTGTTGTTATTGTTATTTGCCGCCGAACCCTCCTTGGGTTTCCGAGGCAGTATCATTACGGCGTAGATTGCCCCATCTTCCTTCTGAGGAGTGGCTGGTAGGTTTGAACCACCAGCCTTCTGGTTAGCAGTCAAGTGCCTCAGGCACTATAATTTTAGGATAATCTCTCTGTGATAGGTATTATTATTTCATCAGCAACTTGTCCCACAAATCCAGAAGTGCCCAGTTTTAAGGCTTGTACAACCTTCATTTTTACTGACTATTTTGTTACTAATGGATCAATTAAGGAGCTCTGGTGGCGAAGTGTCTAAGGCATTTGACTGCTAACCAGAAGGCTGGCGGTTCAAACCCACCAGCCACTCCTTGGAAGGACGGCTGGGCAATCCCCTTCTGTAGAGATGCTGCTTCGGAAACCCAAGGAGGGGACACTATGAGTCAGATCCGACTGGAGGGCAGTGAGTTTTTTTCTTTTTTTAAATGGGTCAATTAAGTCAATATTGGTAATTTTCTTTCATTGGATTATGTTTTATTACCAATCGGTTAAACCACCCTCAGCGACCCTTAAAGGTCAGCAGTTATTTCCTATCAAAAATGAGCAAGCAGAGAAGGGATAAAGATAAGTCTCATTAAAAATCTCAATGTGCATCACAAAGCTGAATCTAGAATTTATTTTCTGTGCCCCCTCCCCTGAAATATGCACGTTCCAAATTGTTTTTTACACTACGCATATTCTAAATCGTCAGTATATGAGACATTAAAAACTACAATAAAACTTGCTGTGATATTAAGTATAAAAACAATTGATCAGATACTTGTTAATATTAACAATCTGATGATCTAGTATCTTAGTTAAATTTAGATGGAAACGTTCCCCGAGAAGCAAGAACTTTGAAGGATTGAGTAAAATTTCCAAGCTGAGCACAGTACCTCTAAAATCAGCCGTCTGGGACACAGTAGGTCTTCTATAATTACTTGTTCATGATTAATTCAATGTTAGTACTATCTATAGTTTACTATTTAAAATGTTATTTTTTTATCATGACTTTTAAAATTTGTTCTGCACTGGATACAGTGTTCCTTCCTCTCAAGGCCAGGCCAAGAGGAAGACGCAATACATAAATCACTAACAGTATAATAAAATGCTGTAATGATACGACTATGTATAACGAGAAGAGAAGATGGAGAAAGAAGCACCTTAGTCGGCTTCCGAGAGTCAGAGAGGGCTTCCGAGGACGCCCTCATAGGACGGCCTACAATGCAGTCCAGAGAGAACTTAGTTTAGGTTTAGTGTCTTGCAGAGGAGAACGTGGAGAGCCAAACACAAACTAGATGCAGGGCTTTATATAACAAGCCCAGGAATTTGGGTTTTATCGTGAAAGCAACGGACGGCTACTACTGGATTTTAAGCGGGGCTAAGTGTGTGTGGGGAGCTCTCGTAGCGTAGTGCCTAAGGCACTTCACTGCTAACCAGAAGGCCGGCGGTTCAAACCCACCAGCCACTCCTCAGGAGGAAAATGAGGCAATCTACTTCCGTAGTGATACTGCCTTGGAAACCCAAGGAGGGGTCACTATGAGTCGGGTCCGACTCCACGGCACATAACAGTTTCAAAACTAAGGATGGTATTAGAGAAACAAATGACATGGCACATGCTCCTAGATTGCTAGAGGCTGTGTTCCTACAAGTCATTGGCAAGCTCGCCCCAGCTCTTCACCCACCAACAGCCCGCACACCCAAGGCGGAGGTGCCAGGACCCTGGGCTCCGCTTGCCCCGCCGCCCTCCGGACGCCCGCTAGGTTACCTTCCCCCTTCTGGGCTCGCCAGGCTCCGGCTCGGCGGCCATGGGGACAAGTCAGCGCCTCCGGCCCCGCCCAGCTACCACTGAGGGTCACTTAGAGCGGAAGTGCTCGACTAACCATTACAGCCTCTCCTCTCCCCTATCTCTGAGGGCTGCCAGTACAATTGGCTGGGGCGGTGCCCGCCTCACCTCTGCCCCGCCCACCGTACGGCGTCCGCCATTTTAGGGAACATTTTTAATTCTCCGCAGAAACTTAGTGAGCAGTGGCCTAGGTTTCCTGGCCGCCATGTCCTTTGTTTACTCGAACATTTTCTCTACCAGCGGGTCTTCTCATTTTGCAGCAGGGCAGAGCTAGGACCCTAGGACAAAGGCTCATGACACAGCCCCGCCACTTGAATTATTGGGGGAGACGAAAGAGAACCTTTGGGCACAGCTGCACTGCACCTCTTCCCGCCTCACTTTATCCCACCCCAACCGCCATTTCTAGCCGTCGTCTGTGCGTTCTCGCGCCCGCGTGCACGGACTTCGGGCGCGCGCCAAGGGGCGGGGGTAGGGCCAGGGCGGAGGGAGCGGGCGCGCCACCGCTGCTTTGTCCTGTAGGACGGGCCTCGCGACCTGGGTCGGCCTGGACCTACCCACCTTCAGTCCCACCCTCAGCCCCATCCGCAGTCCGCCGGACGGAAGTCATCGCGCACTTCCTCTGTGGCCCTCGTCCCCTTTCTGTTCTTTGTCCTTCCGGCCTAGGTGCCGGCGGCTGCTCCCTCGGAATAAGCAGCCATTTAGTCCTAAGCGCCTAATTCCAATAGCTTGTGGTCCCACTCCCACACAACTCCAGTCCTTTTTTAGTTTATTTATTTAGTGACTTTAAAATAGCATCACTCGTTTAGCCTGGAGGAAACCCGGGAGGAAATGGAGAGAGCGACTCCTTAACGAACATGCGTCAGGAAGATTGTGTTTACTGCATAGGGCTGGATAGTGAAGTGAGAGCTGTGAAAGGCGGAGGCGGAGAGAAGGACTTTGGCATTTACGTAGAAAAATGTATTTTTAATGTTAAGTAGTTTCCCACATTATACACCTTTAAAAGTAAGGGTATATTATTTAAATAGCAACGACTGTGATATGACGTGAGGCATAAACATCGAAATTTGGCCAGGTTAGTGAAGAATGAATGCATGCTGGTCTGGTAAAATAAGGTGGAGCTAGTTTTCCAGCAGTCAAAATAACTACAACTCCTTTGTCAGATTTAAAATTTTCCATCCAACTGAAGGTAAATGTCCCTATTGTTACGTAATATTTCATTTATCTCACGTTTACACGTTATATATATCAAAGTGACTTGTGAGGAAATGTCTAAGATGGTAAAGCTTGTTATTGTGCAGAGTCATGCTGCTTCTAAATGCAGCTGCCTGGCACGCAGTTAAGTGCTCGGTAGTGTTAGCAACAATGATTTAATATTAACGATCATTAAATTGAGCGTTTCTGTACTCTGTGTCATGGTCTCACTTTCTTGTTCATTTAGTCTTTCCTACGATGCGAGCAAAATACATAAATTTTGACTGATTTATGTGAGCTTTTGTGTTTAATGAGTATTTTCTGGAGAATTGGACAGTTAAAAACAAACTACATACTGCTCTAATGTTTTTTAGGGAATAGAAAAAAAGTAACCCCACCAGTGATAACCTGCTAGTTTTAGGTTCTCAGCTGAAATTCTTATGCAAATAATTATAGTTTGAACGCTTGGTCTGGGACGTAATATTTTGGGTGCTGGTAGTCAAAAAAATGAGGAAGTCTTTTGAAGTAATCCCTAATTACGTTTTAAAGAAGAGAAAACTGGAAACTACCAGGTGGAACATCATTAAGCTATACTATTTTATTTTTTAATGTGAGTTTGAAAAATGGCTAGCGTGGACTTAGTTTGGGGTCAATTTCATTTGTCTTTGTAAAGTATGAGTTATTTCTTTACATTTAAAAAGTTTTCATTTCACACGCAAAAAAATTGCGTACTATTTGTATATTTGATTTTTTGTTTAACAGTTTATAGAGTAAAAGGCAAAAATCTTTTGCTTTCCTTTTTTCTTCCCAAGGTAAATACAAGTAACTGTCATGTGTCTCTTTCCAAACTGTGTTCTTTTTGCCTTCTTTTAATTAATTAAAAATTATTACATAAATACATATTTGTTGTAATTATTAAAACCACACTGGAATATATAGAATACGATTGATTTCCAACCCTGAGAATTCTTGTGACTTCATTCCTGTGCTGAATGATTATTCCTTAATTCCACATCTTCCTCTTTCTTGGCTTACTTCCTCAAGTTAGAAGAGTGTATCTTCTGGTGGCTTCCTGGAAAAGGCTTGCATAGAAGATAAATATTTTGAAATTTTACAAGTCCAAAATTTTTTTCTTCTGTCAATTTTGATAGAAATTTGGTTAAAATTGTATTTTTAGGATTATTCTCCTACTAGAATTATTCCTCCTAGAAAGATAACTATCTTCTACATAACCAGAATGCCATTATAACCTCTAAGAAAATTAACAATAATTCCATAATATCATCTAGGATGTAGTTTATAGTCCGTGTTCAGTTGTTCAAATAAATTGTCCAAGTTTTTGTTTTTGTCTAAAATAACAATCCAACACTGCATTTGGTTGTATGTCTCGTTAGTTCTTTAAGATGATTGTTGTTGTTGTTATATGCCGTTGAGTCAGCCCCGACTTAAGATGATTAGTCTCCCCATTTCATCTTTTTTTTTTTTTTTTTTCCACAGTTGCTTTGTAAAATATCTCACATTCTGGATTGTCTCTTGGTGTCATTTAACATGTTTATCTACTATCCATTTATTTCCTATGAACTGAAAGTTAGGTTTTAGGGCTGCATTGTCCAATATGGTAACCACTGTGCACCTGTGGCTGCTGGACACTTGTAAAGTGACTAATAGAATTGAAGAACTAAACTTATCTTTTCTTTCAATATATTTTATCCAACATTGTTTCTACCTCTTGGCTATTATGAATAATGCTATGAATATTAGTTATGAGTATATGTTTGAGTCCCTACTCTCAGTTCTTTCGAGTTTATAAATAGAAATACAATTGCTAGGTCATGTGATAATTGTATATTTAACGATTTGAAGAGCTGCCAAACTGTTTTCTACAGTAGCTGTACTTTTTTTTCAAAACATCCCACCATCAGTGATTAAAGTTCCAATTTCTCCATATACTTGCCGGCAGTTACTATTTTTGGATTTTTAAATAATAGCCATCCTAGTAGATGTGGAGTGGTTTCTTATAATTCTGATATGTATTTACTTAATGACTAATGTCCTTGTGCATTTTTAATGTATTTATTTGCCATTTGTATATCTTCTTTGGTGAAATGTCTGCAAGTTCTTTGCACATTTTTCTTTTTTTTTATTGTGATTTGGATGAAAGTTTACAGAGCAAATTTGTTTTCCATGCAGCAATTCATACACATTTTGTTTCATGACATTGATTGCAATCCCTGTAATTTTACAGCTCTCTTTCTACTTCCTCCCTGTGGTTACCTTTTCCCTGTGTCCTTCTTTTCTATGCATTCCTGCCCTCTGAGCATTCTCCTTTTACAAATTCTGTCCAATCTCTCATGGTTGATTGTTCTGAGGAGTACACCTACCTGGTATAATCGTTCACGTCGTAAGCCTTTCTGTTGTTTGGCTGGAAGTTAAGCCACTGGAGTGAGTTCAGTTCTAGGCCTGAAGGGTGACTCAGGGCCATAGTCTCGGGGATTTCACTAGTGCTACCAGGCCAGTAAGCCTGGTCTTTTTTATGATTTTGAGTTTTGTTCTACATTTTTCTACCACTCAATCCAGGATCTTCAATTTTGATCCCTTTCTGAGTGTTTTGCAGCAGTAGCTGGGCACTATCTAGTTCTTCTGGTCTCAGGGTCATGTAGACATGGTCTGCTAGTCCTTTGGACTAATTATTTCCATGCATCTTTGGTTTTCTTTATTCCCCTTTGCTCTGGACGACAATCTTTGCACATTTTTTAATTGGGGTTGTTTATCTATTTGTTATTGAGTTTTAGGAATTCTTATTGTTCTGGTTACCTAGTGCCCCTCTGACAAGAACATACCACAAATCGGATGGTCTTAACGAACAGGAGTTTATTCTTACAATTTGGAGGCTTTAAGTCCAAGTTCAAAGTGGCAGGCTCTAGGGGCTGGGTGAGAGCCCCTCTTCAGCTCTGCCTCTAGGTCCCGGCCCACTGAAGCTAGAGACATTTCTTCACTCAGACAGCTGCTGGCTGCTGAGGCGGAGAAGCCCAAGGTTGACAAATAGAATGGCACAGTCCCGATGTTACCAAACCACACAACAGGCCATTAATTTAAGTCCATTGTAAGTTCCAAGGTTGGCAGAGCATGGCATGCTGCTGAACAACAATGACACAACTACATGCAGGGTCCAAGCGTGCCATAGGCTAGAGACCATTCCCAAAGCTGCTTCTTATATACGGGAAGCAGACCACATACCCAAAGCAGATACTCAGCTGCTTGTGGTAGATCCCATCATGGAGTTGATTGCCATTCTCATCATGGGGACTAACTATCACCAGCTGCCCAGCCGCTCAACCAGGTCCAGCCAAATTGACACACAAACTGATCTACCATATTTATATATTCTGGATAGTAAACTTTTACCAGATATGTAATTTGCAAATATTTTCTCCCATTCTATGGATTGTTTTTTCACTTTATTGCTAAAATCCTTTAATGCATGAAAGTTGTTACTTTTGATGAAGTTCCATTTATCAATTTTATCTTTGTTGTTCATTCTTTCGGGGTTGTATCTAAAAATCAATTGTCAAAGTCTGAATTTCTAATTTACATAATTTTAATTTTAATTTAAAGTTAAAATCTGATACTGAATAATTTAGTTATTGGAAAAATTTTAGGTATGTTTTGAGCATCTTCAGTATATGAATCTGTTTTTTCAACTGTCAGAAGTCCATCTTATGAAATTTAAATACATATTAAGTATTTCCAACTAAAGTTTGGCATCTGAGCTT